AAGATGTTGGATAGCCATTTGTCTGAAATGGTATAGGGTTTCCTGCCTAGGCAGGGGGTTGGACTAGAAGACCTCTAAGGTCCCTTCCAACTCTGTTATTCTATTCTATATATCCTGACTTGACCAAAGCAGTTTGTGCCATTGCAGCTCTGTTGGTGATCCTCTAAACTAAGGGTTCTTCCACTGGGGGTAGTTACACCCCCCCGAGGAGCAATTTGGTTGCATCCTGGGGGTAACAGGGCTGGGCTGCTGGGGGTTTGCAGGGGTTCGGGATAACCTCTAGCTAAGATTCTGTGCAAATCGGAGAACCCCCAAATCCCACTCCTGGCTGGCCCCTCCCATCCCTCCCAGGAGTCCCCACGTGGCCCATTTTGGATGCAGGTAAGTGCAGGGCAAGCACGGAGCCTCGGGGAGGGTGAAAAATGAGCCTACCAGAAGTTCAGGCCTCCAGAGGGGCTCCAGAGCCTGGGGAGGCTGTTTTCGCCCTCCCGGAGGCTCAAGGAAAGCCTCAGGAGCCCGGGGAGGGCAAAAACACACACACACCGTGGTGCAGGAGGTGACTAGGCCACACCCACCATAGCCACGCCCACCCAGCAACCAGACAGAGAACCCCCTGCTAAAATTTTTGAAGGCCACCCCTAGTAATGCAACAATTTGTAGTTACCGTATTTTTCAGAGTATAAGACGCTCCGAAGTATAAGACGCACCTAGCTTTTGGGGAGGAAACAAGGGGATGGGGGGAAATCTGCCTCTGCCTCCCAGCAATTTACCTCCTTGCAGCAAACAATACAGACAATATACACAGTTTGTAGTGTTCCATTTCAGACTATACTTGTACACATGCTGTTAAAATTGATGTGGCTTTCTGGAAGTATTCTCTGCTATGTAAAAGGAGATACAATAGCACTGAGCCTCTTCAGATCAAGCATTTATTTTTAAAACCTTATTCATTTTGTTAAGCTGTTTAGAATAATAATAAAGCGGTCTTTAAAAAATAGTTCTAATAATTTGAATATTCTATAGGCATTTATAGTTATTGAAACCTCCCTAGCCTGATTAGGAAAAAATAAAGAAAAAGTAAAATCTGCCTCTACCTCCCAGCAATTTGCCTCTTGGAGCAAACAGGAAGTGTCACTTTCAATTTCAGCATAGGCCTCCCGATCATCAGCTGTTTCAGGCTGCAGGGATTGCTATAGCATATTGCAGCCTCCGCACGCCCCATTTTCCCCATTTGCTGCAAGGAGATAAATTGCTGGGAGGCAGAGGCCAAAGGGTGGGAGCCGGTGGGTGGGTGGGGCTACATTCAGTGCATAAGACGAACACAAATTTTCACCCTCTTTTAGGTGGGGAAGGTGCGTCTTATACCCCGAAAAATACAGTACTTATTTGTGAAATAAGGATGCACCATGGCCATGTGATCAAAATTGAGACGCTTGGCAACTGGCATATACTTATGACAGTTGTGTTAGTCCCAGGATCATGTGATCCCCTTGGCGACCTTCTGTTGACCAAAGTCAATGGAGAAGCAAGGTTTGCTTAACAACCAGGTTTACTCACTTAACAACTTCAACTCTAGTGAGCGTTGCAGGTGACCCAAAATTGGGGCAAAGGTTGGCAGACTGAAGAGGCGACCTCAGTCCTGTTCCACCCTGACTTAACTGTGATGCTTCCTTTACAGTCTGACGGGACCATCCTGGCAATCATCTTGCTGATCCTCTTCATTCTCTTGGCTCTGGCTCTTCTCTGGTGGTTCTGGCCACTTTGCTGTACTGTGGTAAGTCCCTGGAACCCATTCTCCCTTTGGCTGGTCTTCTGCGTCAAAAGAGGAGAAAATCACTCCCAGAGAAAGCCACAAGGCTGCTTACGATGAATAGTTTTTGTAAGGGGGAAGACATCCTCCCTTTCGGCTGCGCTAGTTTGTCAGATGAAGTCATCTAAAAATATGGATGCTGTGGGTCTGTGTTTCCTGCAGAAGTGAGACTTCTGGGAATGTATGAGGTTTAGGATTCCATGAGACTTCAACTTTTGCATTGATGTGAGTTTATTCAGCCTGCCATTGCACAATCGTGCTCGGCCCAAGGGGTGCTAGATCTATTGGTTCTAGATCTGCTTTCTCCAGACCATAGGAAGCTGAAGAAGACAGAAACAATAGAAGGCAGCTAACCATGAAAGACCAACCCTACAGCCAGAAACGAGCACTCCCATGGTGGTATCCAAAACATGCCCGTACGATCAACACGATTCTTTCACAGGAATTACAGCTTACCCAGAGTAGGCTGGGTTCTGTTCTAGCAGTTCTGTTCTCCAGGAGGACTTGTGCTATTGTTGGCATTTTCCCCTCTCTCAATTCTATTCTATTTGATTTGATTTGATTCTACATTCTAGTCTAGCCTCATTCTGTTCTATTCTGCATTCTCTTCTCTTCTCGTTAAAAACATTGAGTCTTTATTGATTAGCCCTTGGGCCGTATCAAAGCGCAAAGTTCCAGAAACAAATTATTACTATCATTTGATAAAAGCAATATAAAATGGAATTTGATAAAATACAATTTAAAATGGAATTGGAATAAAATACAGTCTAAAATGAAATTGGATTAGAATACAATAGTTTAAGATATAGATAAAATATGATAAAATTATATTTCGGTGTCACCCCTGCAATCTACCCCAATCAATCCCACGTATGCAGAGCTCAACCAAACCATTTGGTTTAAGTACTGTGCTGTGCTAAATGCTATTTTCCGGCTCTGGCCACACATAAAATAAGTTCAGTGGTGGGATAATTTAAAAACCGGTTCTCTGCCCTCATGATTTCTTCCAACAACCAGTTCACCAAACTGAATCTCACCACTGGGTAAGCTGTTTTGATATGGGGACCCCAATGGGTCATTTGGTTGGTATATAGACCTGTCTTTCATATACAAGCAACAATCAAATAGGATCTATTCTGTTCTCTAGTCTAATCTAGCCTAGTCTCATTCTGTTCTATTCTGCCTTCTCTTCTCGACATCATATCATAATGAAGTGGATCCAAGAAAAACATGGAGGTCTCTTGTTTAGAAAAAAAAATCAGTGGAGCTGGAATCATAAGACATTCGGGTGAGGATCAAGAGAGGCAAACCAAAAACTGCCCCACAATTGCAATACACACAATACACAAAGGCCTTGTTTGTGTCCAGTCTCACCCGCAAGGCCAAAAGGCAGCTGCATTGCAACCTGACTGTGCAATGCAGCTAATTTTCAAATAACTGCACTTTCTACCAGACCTCTATTCTTGGGACTTTTTAGCTGTTATATTTCTCTATCCGGAAGGCCACATTCAGCAATCTTCTCTCAAAAGTTTAAAAGCAAGTCAGAGCCATGTCACCCGGTTCTAAAAAGCGTTATGGAAAGAAAGTGAAATTATTCCAGAGAGAAAACATCTCACAGGAAATCATGTGGATGGAAGAATCTTGAAAATCTGGGGTTTGCATTCCAGCCTTTAAGGCAGGAAAAGTAGGAAGAAGCGTGAGGAATATTGAATGAACCAGAACCTTTCAAGATACAGCATGCAAATTTTCCCATCAGTCTGGAGAAAATAATAATGGGGTTAACAGTCCTTTGACAATCACTTTCCATCCAGGGAGATAATGCCTGGCATTATTTTTCAATCCTAGTGGGGCTCTTCCTCCCTGAATTTTAAAAATAAGTGCACAAATGCAATGAAAAGTATGAGAAATTATTGGAGTGAATTGCTCGTGGTGGATTAACACATTAGCCCAGGGGTCCCCAAACTTGGCAACTTAAAGACTTGTGGACTTCAACTCCCAGAATTCTCCAGGCAGCATAACTTACTCTCTTGTAATCCCTTCCTCTGCCATCTCTCCACTTAGATCAGAGGTCTTCAAACTTGGCAACTTGAAGATTTGTGGACCTCAACTCCCAGAATTCTCCAGCCAGCTAGAGAGTTGAAGTCCACAAGTCTTCAAGTTGCCAAGTTTGAACACCTCTGCATTAGCCGATAATTTACTAGAAAATTTTCCTAGGTGGGGAAGACGTGTGTCCCAGCTAGGCTGAGTTTCAAATGGATTTTAGCTAAGTAAGTGCCTCTGATGAAGCAAGACAATTCCCCTCCCCCCGCCCCAGTTTTGGCCTTGTTAGAATTTCTAATTAGTAATGGTCCCTCCGCTGACATGCCTTTGGGCAGGAAGGAAGGGAATAATAATAATAATAATAAAAAGGGAGAGAATGGGAATTGCTTGGTTGCATTCTCTGATTCAGCTGAGCAAGGATGACTGGGAGAAGGATATGTTTCTCATTAAACAGAGCTCTATTTGTGCGTATGTGGAGTTCACATCAGTCGCGATCCACTCCCCACCCCTTGTAATGTGCATCTTGTGATTGTACACCCATTAAAGTGGGTGGAGTGGATTGCAAAGTCAAGTCAGTGGCTGTCACCCCCATGAGGGTGCCTCCCTGGGCATCTTCCCTACTGCGACACCATTGATGTTAATGAGATTTCCCCAGTTCTCGTGTGGAAGGAAGCTGGTATGTTAGATGGTTCTGAAGTATGTGGGAATGCTTTCACTGGAGATAAAGGCCTCGATATTTAGTCATCTGATGACAAAAGCTGGTATAAATGGTGAGATGATAGGAATAAGAATTAAGAAATTGGGAAATGTAAAATTAATGTCTATTAGAAGAATTAGAACATAGCGATCAGATCGGGGGGGGGTAGGAAAGATAATTTAGGATACACTAACAGGAGAAAAATATATAGTACATACAACAAAGGTAATATGACAGTCTGATATAAATGGCTAAACATAACCAATTAAGCAAAGGAGTAAGAAACAAGGTGTAAAATGTGCAGGAGGGGAAACAATAACTGTAAAGATGCACTGATAGGTAACTGCTGTGAGAAGGAACTTTAGTTCCGGTGTTGTTTGTAAGTTGTATGTTTGTTTTTGTTGATGTGCTTAAGTGTTTAAAATATTTTTTTTTTAAAAGCTGTCCTGGGAAGCAGAGAGACTCCAAGCCTCACTGGATCAGGTCAAATTAACCCCTGCAGTCTGCTTCCAAATATTAGCCAACTGGGATCTGTAAGCTAGGGATGAATGAAGCAGCTTTTGCCACTGTATGATGTTCACAGCTGTGTAGCCCGGAAAACACATATATATCATGTATGATGAATAACTGCTGATGGGTTGTGCAATCACCTAATTCAGTCGAATTCTAGAATCTGAGGTCTTAAGGCTGGGCACCCCAGACATAAATGAGAAGCTAGGGAAGAAAGCTGAGAAGATGCCACTTTTTCTGCTTGCGATGAAGTTGTCCCAAAGGTGCTTTTTCAAGAGGCAACTGGTCTTTCTGATTTTCCTGTGAAGATGTTTCACTTCTCCTCCAAGGAGCTTCTTCAGCTCTGATAGATGATGGTGGGGAATGGAAGGATTTCTATTCCTTGCAGACAGCTGGCCATTTGCATCCTTTTGGAGAGCTGTTGAGGCCACTTGGATGTTTATCTATGTTGTCAGGGTCACCTGAGTGATGCAAATGCGTGTGGAGCCTTCTTGGAACAGCTGAAAGGACTATTGTAGACATCCTCTGTTGATGATGTCATATCCTTCCCCCACACCTTTCCATTCCCCACCATCTAGTCAGAGCTAAAGAAGCTTCTTGGATGAGAAGCGAAAGAAAAACCAGAAAGTCCAGTTGCCTCTTGAAAAAAAACCTTTTGGGACAACCAAGACCTGGATGGATGAGGATTTCCATAGACATTTGCTATGAAGTTCTTTCTATCAGGGCTGGGGAGGGTTAAATAATGATGTTTTGGGTTCACAGGTTCAGATTTTTCACTAGCTCCTCAGAAGCCAACCTGCCAGATCTGTAGGTGAGGGCTATGGTTTTAAATGGAGATAGAAAATGTTTAGAAGTAGTTTATAATGGCATCTTCTTAGGATGGGTCCTAAAAGCGAACATTGTTGTGGCCCACCAGCAGAGCTGGCAGCAGATTCGGACAGTGAGGAGGTTGAGGAGGAAGATGGGCCAGTCCTGGAGTCTGGGGAAGGCTCAGATGAGGGCTCTGTGTCGGAGGCAGAGAGGGGGCCAGGGCTGTATGCCAGTTATCAGCTGCCTTTGGAGTCAGACATCGGTGAGGCAGAAGAACAGCTGGAGCCTGTTCCCAGTGTGCGCATGCGCAGATTTGCCAGACGAAGGGAACAGCTAAAGAACAGGGTTCGACTTGGTTGTAAGGCCACAGGTGGACAATGAATGGCCCCTCCCAGAGGAAATAAAAGAGGAGTGAAAGGGGAGTGGAGTTTGCAGGAGACCATTAGTTCGCTCCATTGGTTTGTGACTCTCCGAAACTCCTTGCCAATTTCTGCAGATATGGGCCTGGCA